CATGCCAAGACAAACACGAAGCCAGACAGTGCACAAAGGCAAACATATCATCCAAATAAACGTGTCCACTTACATGTCTACATGGGTGGGGCAATTCAGCGGGGAGTTGTACGGGTCAAGCAGTGTGAGTTGTTATTGCTATTCCGCTTCCGCTCTACTGCTTAAGTTGCTCTCCAGTGAGGCTGTCTGTCTGTCTGTGGCTGACACTTGCCAAGGTGTTTATTATATAAACCTTGGCTGCCTGTAAACATGCAACTATAAATTTTAACACCCGAGTAAGCTTCATCTATTTCAATCTATTATCCCGCTCTTCATCTCTAAAGTTCAAATAAAAACCATCACACGGACTGTCTGTCTGACTATTTCAATGAACTGAGAAATTATAGCTGCTAAGATTGCACTGGAATGCTTAGCTTGATAATATCCTAGAAACGGGTCGGCAATGGGGTATAAGCCATGGATACTTTTATATGGCTTACGAAATTTATATTTAAAAATACAATTATTAAAAGAATATTTAATTCAGCAATTTATTTGCATTTAGAATAATCACATTCCTTAATCCTTATACCCTTATTACAATTCTCATATATATTAATAATCTTTATAATAATTATTATAATGGTCATTGCTTATTATATGTTTATTTTGAATTTGTTTATTCCTCTTATTGTCTTTGTGTTCAGTTTTCATATTTACTTTCTTAAACTCTTCTCTTTTAAAGAAAGGCAAGCATTATCTCTAATTGGATTCACACATAGTCTCCTCGACTACCATGAGCCTTTACAGGGTATAAACAATAATGTCGACACAATGGCGACCATGGCTAAAAGTATAATGGCGCCAAACTTAATTTCATTCCACTTTTTTATTTCCTTTGCATTTCTTTGCGTTTGCACAGACAACGACATGGCTGCAGATCCTATACAAACATATAGATGTGTATAGAAAAACATATATCTTTGGTCAACAGTTTTTGACCATTTAATATTTTACTCAATTTATGTGGTTTATCTCAATGTAAAATCGAAAGTGTCAAAAGAAAATGAAATTTGTTGTAAATATACATTTAGTTTTTAGGGCAAGGTATCAAGAAAAGTACAGAACTTATATAGCGCATGTCCATTCAAACTTATCTGAGGTTCAAACGTAATTTTTGGTCCAATACTTATAGTTTTTTGATGTGAAACTGAAAATAAAATGAAAATTCAAGAATTTGAAAAAAAAAAAACATTTGATAGATATGGAGAGAAAACAACCACCCTAAAACAAAAAAATAGCAAATAGAGCAGATTAAAATTTAGTTCAATGTAAACTGAATTCAAATGATGCGTCATAGGAAATATAGTAAGTAGCTAAGTAAATAAATGATTAGAAAGGCTCAAGCAACTCGTTTACAGTAAATAAAGTAAATTTTAATAATTACCTACTACTACATTGAAAGAACTCCACTTTAAAAACAAAAAGAAATTAAAGAAAACAGATAGCCATACCATAATACAAAGAATTGGTTTTATTAATTATTGAGTGGTTTAAATAGTTTATACTGAAGCTTCAATATATTGTTTAAAGCCTTCTCAACAGCCGCAGTGATAGTTTGTTCTATTTAACCCAAAAGATTAGCTACTTGAAGCAGATTGAAACAAATTTCCGTGAACATAATACATATATTAAATGAATTAAAAAAATACATAATTGAACAGATTTAATTAAAATTTTGTTAATGTACATTGTCTTTAAAGTTATGATAAAAAAAACCTAAAAACAAATTAATTACGTTATTGCATAGCAAAAATTTAATTTGATTAAATCTAAAACATGGGCAAACTATGCGAATTCTGGCGAGCGGAAATACAGTTCAATGATTTTTATAATTAGAAATATTTAAGAAAAAAAAAAAATGGCACTTGCTCTTTCCAGGTGAATAAATATGTAAATTTAAATTAAAAATTGTTTGTAAAATATCTAAAAAAAAATCGACTATTTAAACACAGAAATTTGCATCAATTTATTGCACAAGGATAAGATGAAACTGTATTTCCATAAAACAAAATGCCAAATACCAAAATGTAATAAAAAATATGAATAGATACATATATGTGTATACAACTATATATATGTACATATATATATATAAAATGTTTACAAAAGAGCCCAACAATTTGAACAAATTTTTAAATGTTAAACAAATTACAAAAACAAACAAAAATTTGTGGTGTATGTGCGACAACAAAAAATTTCCAATTTTAAAAATAAAAAATACAATTTCTTTGAATATACATGCAATGTCAAGGATGACAGCGAAATTTCATCAGCAGTCTACCCAGCACACACACACACACACACACACACATACAAATATTATACACGTACACCCATACATATGGTAATTTTTTCACGAGGGAATAAAGTAATTCCATACATGGTTCTCTTTTTTCCAGCGTATGAAGGTAATGCCTAAACAACAACGTGTCAATTACTCTTCTGGGAGAAGGAGTCTGCCTTTTTAATATATATTCATAAAGTTTTGGGTTGCTGAAATCAAGAGCTAAGGTAAAAGTTGGAATATAGCGAAATGTAGGATTTAGTTGAATAGTAATTTCAAGGTGAAGATTAATGATTCAATTGACGGCGAAGACACAATTGATTCTAAATTTAATTGTTAGGTAATGATTCAGTTTTATTACCAAGGCTAATGGCATTTTTAATGATGAACTAACGATAAATGTTGCAATTAACTCTACACCAGCTACGTCATTTATCTTATAAGTTTATCATCAACTTCATTTTATTGGCAAACTCAGGAATGTTGAATGCTAAAAGATAAATGACTTTCCATGTAATAAAGGTAGCAGGAAAGTAAAGTTAGGGATTGACTAAATGGTAAGTGTATAGTGACTGGAAAATAATGGTAATGTCAATTGGTACTCAACGAATTCGTATGTTGACGGCAACATTCATATTTCACTGCTAATAATCTGAATGGTCAAATTAATGTTAAATCTAATGCAAAGGTAAGACTCAAATAGCGATGGTATAATTGACGGTAAGCTCAATGGTAATTGGTAAAAGTTTTGATAAAATACTAACGTGTGAAGAAAATAAATTACACAGGGAAACTCTTAAAAAACGAGAACGTTTTCACCCAATTTGACCTCAAAACTCTGAGCTCAAAACAGAGATTAAATCAATGATATAATTCTTGCATTTAAAGGGTATCTAATCTTTGGGCATATTTATTTCCCCTATTTCGTGTTAATTTTAAAAGCACACGCAGCAGCCAGCATTTGGCTATTAACAACGTATCAGCTGAGGCTTAAAATTATGGCCACATAGCCCTCATATGGCCATTCCGAAACAAATTTATGTACGTCGCATAGCTAGAACGGAGAGTGAGAGTGAGTGAGTGAGAGAGGATGATAGGGAAAAAATAGCACTGAGGACTGCAAGTGATGGTCTCTAATGTCGACACTTAAATACGCACGCACACAAACGCAACGTCACTCAACCCCATACACGCGCACGCACACGCACACACATACACATACACGTAGACGTAATACGGTCTAAACCGTTTGCACATCAAAGCGCAAATCCATTAGGCATAAAACCACCAGCCAGGTAGGACAAGCAAGAAAAAAAAGCTGAAACGAAAAGTGAGAAGCTTATCTACGTAAAATGCTTGTGCATAAGCGAGTGCCTATGTGTGCGAGTGTGTGGGTGTGTAGGCGTGTGTTGGTGTGCCCCTAGAGTGTGCTAAACTAAGCGGAGAGTGAGAAGCGCCGAGAGAGGCAGCTCTAAAGCAAGCACAAGATTAATGAGCAGCACCTGCCTGCCGACAAATTATATAGCATAATTCACTTTGAGCCCCATTCGCATATGTTTACCAAAATATCTCCAAGCTCGGTCGCTCAGTGTTTCATGGCCAATATTTTAAGTATGCACGAAAATAAGTAGAAATTCTGTTAACAAATGAGCTTCGGCTAGACAAAATCTAAAAATAAAATTAAATAAAATTGAATTAAATAAAAAAACAAAAGAAATACACAAATATTTTTTAAGGTTTCTGTAAAAGTTTAAGGTGTCACCAAAGATTTTTTTATTTTCTGTCTAAGAAAATGTTCTCTTGAAAAACAAAAGCGTGAATGCCAACAAAATTGTGTGCTAAGCTACGCAAAATCAATAAAAGCTGTGCCCAATTGATGTCGGCATATAAATATATCTACATATATGCATATTCGTTATATTACATTCGACTTAATAAATCCTTAAACAATCATTTATACTTTCCCGTCTCAACTCTCCCGGCTAAGCCAATCAAATGTTATTTTCCGTTTTTCTTTTTTGCCAGTCGAGTAATCAAAGTTAGCAGCTGTGACCTGTTTGTGTCCCTGGGCTGCTTAGAAATGCAATACAATCTGTGAATGATTCGCTTTTGTACTTTTTGTTTCTCGTTGTTTTTGTTTATAGTTGTTTTGCGATTGTTTTCATTCGTATTTTTTTCCCATCTAACGATGATTGACGATGATTGAAAGTTACAGTGGCAACAAAAACCACAATGGCAATAAAAACAACGCCAACTGCAGCTGGCTTTCATTTAGCTACCTAAATGTTGGCAAACCCAATGACAGACAGTCTGTCCAACTAAATTATTATCTAGAGAAAAAGGATTCGTGCCTCTAAAATTGGATTAAAATATATATATATATATATATATATATATATATATATATATATATATATATA